CCATGTTTTACTTTCGTTCTAATGACCAAAAAGTTTTCCTCCTACTGTTTTGTACGTTCATTCTGTGATTTTATTCATAATCTATTTCTTGTTCTCTTCCTACAGTTTAGTAAAAAAATAGTTTTTTACCTGGCATGTTTCAGCTAGTATCTCTAGCCATCAGCAGAGATCACTGGTGTTGGTAGTGTCACTTCCTTTTATCCATAGTTTCCTCCAACTAGTTTTACACATAGGGACCTAAATCTCCTCCCTTTCCGATCGGCCCATGGATCCCCGGAAGAACGAAAAAATGAATGCTAGTCAACGGGGCTAAAAGAGTTTTTTTCTAATCCGCTTTGCCTCAGATCCTGGATCGCACATATGTTGTACTGCAGTTTAAATGAAAATAATGATGGATGTTTCGACCACACCTGTCACAAACTTTGATAAAAGTTCGTAATTAGCATGACTACAAATTAAAAATTGGCATGTCGCATTTGTGACATCACCACATAATATCCTCTCCCCTAGCGTAGCTGCTACTTACCACATGACCAGATTTATGGTGGTTCTTTCCTCCTGTGGGAAGGATTTGAAGTTTGCTGAACGTAGACATTTTCCCTCTGTTTTTCTCCGGGTCTGGTTCCATGACATCACTTTGCGAAGCGCATTTGTAGTCCTGGACTAATTTTCACATAAAACCTAAAATAACATTTCCCCTCGTTCGAAAATAAACACGTTATTGGTATCAAAATGCTTCTTTAAAATTCACAGACATCATATGTGAAATCCATGGCACATAACAAGCGGAATTAGAAAATTGCGTTTTTAGCCCCATTGACTTGCATTCATTTTTTCGTTCTTCTGGGGTCCCATGGTCCGGAAGTAGATGGGCGTGACTTAGGCTCCCTATTGACATTTATTATTACGATGAACATGGAGCCCCCTAGTGGCTGGCTGCAGAGTAAACTTGAAGGTCCACCCCTTCCATCTAAAGAAATAAAACTTTTTTCCAGGCTAAAAATCATCAGATACAGAGAAGCCTCATCCACTATGATACAGTCTCTTGTTAGACACAGATCCTAGCTCTGAGATGATGTTGAGTCTTGGAGCAATCATGGTCATAATTAAAACGATAGCATTAGTCATAGCCTTAGTCATAATGAAAACCATGTGAACCTTGTCTCTCAGCTAATCCCTCTGCATCTTCTGTTTGGTGATGAGAGAATTTGGTTTCCAGCTGAACTCAGCAATCACCATCTGAAATCCTTTCAACTGATTAAAATTCTCAGACGAGAGAAAGCAAAACTTTTTGAGTATGCGTTCAAGTTTTGTGATGCTTGTTTTATTCTATAAGATGTTCTCCATACGTTCAGTTATGTTGCAATGTAGAAAAAAGGAGTGAAATGAAATGTCAAATCTATCACAGGATTTTTTAATCTGCAACAACAGTAACATTTCAAAAACATGTGGATGAATAGAACGTTAATGGTACAAAAAGTTTCAATACGATCATTAGAAGTAGATTTGTTTCCACAAAAACAATGATTTGTAACTTTCTGAGAAACTTCACCAAACACAAACATTATTGAAGTATGTCTGAGAACAATGAACCAAATGTGTTTGAATCCTGCATTAATCTCTGTTGTCATCTCTTTAGGAGAAACAATCTCTGACTCACAGCTGCAATTCAAGACAAGTTTGATTCCATCAGGGAAGTAAAGTGCTCCAAAACTAAGCCTGCATCTTTGACTGAAGCAAGTATTTCACTGAATAGAAATGCTCCATGAGATATTTTCATATCTCATCTTGCAACCACAGGACCAGACAGGTAAAACGTTAGATAGGTTGCCCAACAGCTGGTTTGATAAGGACATCAGTGCCACAAAACAATGATAAAAGTTTTTTTAAGTCGGATTAAAAGAAAACTATCAAGAAATTTGAGAAGCTTATAAAAAAAATCTAAGTCTTATCAATCTCCATCCAACATGAACCATCGGAGCCTTGAATCAGAGTTCCTTTGTAATTCAAAACTATGAGGAATTGAAATCTAAATGCTTTTTTGAGAACTACACGGACTTTGTTTTGAAAATATCTTGCAAAGCATTTGAGTTTGGTCCACTTTTCCTTTATGAAGACAGCAAGCATGCTAAAATTACAGGTCACGGCTTCCATATTCTGACTTCCTGTCTCAAGAAAGCCATCTGGTTTAAAAGGCCCCACTGAGCAGATGTCTGAAATACTGATACCAGCAGAAAAGCTGTTCGTACAGTATACTCCTTCACTAGAAAAACAAAGTTTGTGTCCGAACCCAAGAAAGTGAGATTTATAAAAGCACGTCGACTCCGTGTTAATGTCAGGATGAAAGCATCTTTTATTGCCCCGTTCTAAAATATGTGTTTGAATAAAACGTCAAAATCAGCTAAAATATTTTCAGTGAAAGCCGTAAAAATGCTACTAAATCATTAAAAGAAAGAATGTCTATGACAAGCAGAAACAAACGTCCCATAGAGGAAACAGAATTATGACTTTGTCTTGGTCTTTAACTTTTGTTTAAAAAGAACAAAAGTAAAAGTGTTACACTAGCTAGCAGGACTGTCATATCACACCTTCCCCCAAACATCCTGACAGTAAACTCACAGCACAACAACCGTTCAGACAAAAGGGTCTCGTTTTACTGGCCTTCAGCCCAACTTTTAACAAGAGCATCCCATTGTTTTGGTGGCTGAGTGGAGCTTTAGTCAAATCCTCTGAGTTTCTTCATCTCTTAAATAGGGTTCTACATCACAGGAACTGAAACATTTCCAGAGCTGCAAAGTTTCTGACTCTGTTAATTACTGCACCCTTTTTGTCTATTTCTGTTGCTCAAACCTCCTGTTTACAGGGGCCGCCATGTTGGATTTTTTGGAACCAGAGTCTGGACCAAAGAGAGGTGAAACTAAAGGTCCCACCATCTCCACCGCACAGAGTAGACCCATTTGCATTTTTGGAACGTCCGGGTAATTTTACTGGACCTTCTGAGCATGCCCTTATCTGCATTTTACCGGGCCGGTCCATTAGGATCATTTTCCGGGCCATTTCTGAACCAACTGAGTACCTGAACAGGGGTATGTACTTGGAAATGGCGCAGTAAAGTTGCTAGGTGGGATTTGTGGTTAACTCATGCTGATTGCTTTGAACTCGGTGGGAAATGACATCAGCAGACGCTGTCAAATAACCAACATTTATTATAATTGGCAAAGTAGCTGGTGAAGCAGAGTAGAAGGAAAAGAAAAGAGGTTCTCTCGCATTTGTCTAGAGACCTCAGCCAATAACACGGCTCTGTCCAAAGCCAACGATTGGGCCATGCGGTTGTCTCCCTCACTGAACAAAAGCACTGTTTTTCTGGGTACTTCGTGCTTGCCCATTTAACAACAAAACACCACTGGTGTGAGAGGTTCTCCGCTCAGTAATATCAGAGAAGGAGAAACAGCCGGCTGCTACCACTTCAACTTTAGGACAGACTACCAGAGTCCTAAAAAGAAAAACATCATTTGTGGTTTTGGACGACAAAAGACATTTGGATGTAGAAAACAGTGGCTGGTGTTTTGTGCTGTCTTGTTTACTCACGTGTTCTGGTATCAGGGGGGTGTGGCCTGGGGAATGATAACTGATGGGAAGGATGAGAGTTCCGTAACCGTATTTGTGTTTAAAAGCTAGCTTGTTTAGCAGATTTATTGCAGCTTTAAACCTATTACCTGTAAAATGAGTGCAACTACAAACACAAAAGCAAAGCTCCTTCACAGTTTATGGTTTGCACAAGTTCAAATCAACTCTCAGTAAAGCATCAGGAAAAAAATCAAGATGGGGGTTTGCTTGACACTGAAAAAAGAAACACTAACGCTTTTGGAAGAAAGTGCTTGACCTCGATGGTGAATGAATGACTCGTGTGTGTCGTGGTCACACAGTAACTAAATGCAAATACAATGCACACCGGGGATCTGGGTTTTGTTAAATCGGAGAGTGTTGACCTAAGATAGAAACTCTTGGTCGTGCACCGTGCTGTAATCAGATCATTAAGACTCCTGGCTCGTACGACTGTAAGTCAGGGTGGTCGTAGAGGAAAACATCACTCATGTTTTAGGTAAAACAAACAGGCTGTTAAAGCTGGTCAAACAAGTGTGCAGCAGGGGATGAGAGGGAGTACAATGGAGGCCATGATGGCCTGCCAAGTCTGGCTTTCTTCATGTCTCATTCATTGCTGCCATTTGTAATTATGACACATTCAGCAAGTGGAGACGGGAATACGTTGTCTATGTTTTTTCTCAGATGTTGTTCATCTTCAAGATAAGCTTGCTTTTATTTTAAACATAAGAAAATCCTCATTATTCCTGGGTATCCCCCCATCCTGAGTCTCACTTATAATTATCAGAGGCTGCTGGGAGTGGGATCAGATCAAACCAGTCCTCTCTAGTCATAAAAAACAAAAAGCTTTGTGGTTCAAACTATTCAGAGACCCAAAACACCGAACTGGAGAATCCATTAAGTACACATCCAAAGCAGTCAGATCATTTATTCACAAAAGCACTCTCCACTCATTAGTGTGTGCCGCCTGCTTGAATGAAGCCTGAATCCAGAGGGTTTAAAGATTCTGAACAAAAGACAAAGGTGCGTCCTTGTGTTTTCATCAGTGAACAGACACCTACAAAGTTTAAGATGCTGTGAAGTGTTGACATGAAGCTGTTCCACCAGCTGTGCTGTGAATAACAAAATAAAAGCTTTGAAGTTTGAATTTTAGGCAAGTGCTGTGCAGGCTAGTAACATGTTGGACAAAGAACATAAATAGCTGAATATTGTTGTGCAGTAAAGAAAATACGACAAAAGTGAAGTAATGTGGGGTTGTAAACATCCTATCATGATGGGTCATAGCTTCACCCACACATGGTTGGGGAAACACGCTCAGAGCTGTAGGTCAGTGGAGCAGCCGCAAGGCAACAAAGGACCAAGAAACACACAGGAAGGCGGCTTAAATCATACTTTACCATGTTTGTAGGAGCCTCTCCTCTAGCAGGCAGAAAGTTTTCTCATGTTTTCCTCTTGGATCTCCTCTGCAGACAACCCGAGCTGGCGAATGGAAGTCCTGCCATGTTTAGTGTATCAACAGCAGAGGCTCCCTCCAGCAGATCCACGTGACAGTGAGCTGTCCTGACTGAAAAAGGAGTGAAGTCAGCTCCATTCTTCACAAACTTGGAGAATGCAGCACACGGAGATACAAATTGTCAAGCTGCCTGTTGATTCTCCTGCTCCTCTTTTGCTTCTCCTCCCTGGTGTTGTGTTGTGGGGGGTGAGAGCAAAGGGGGGAGGAGGGCTTGTCTCAGAGAGAGAGAGAGGGGGGGGGGGGGGGGAGGTGAAAAGCGTTTTCTTTCAGAGGAAAATCCCCCTCCAGGCTTTTCAGATCTCTCTCTCTCTCTCTCTCTCTCTCTCTCTCTCTCTCTCTCTCTCTCTCTCTCTCTCTCTCTCTCTCTCTCTCTCTCTCTCTCTCTCTCTCTCTCTCTCTCTCTCTCTCTCTCTCTCCCTCCTTTATCACACACACACCCGAGCACACCCACAGACACAATATGTCACAATCTGAAGCACAAAGCCTTCACTGACACACTCTGAGAAGTGCTCTGTTTTGTCCTGCAATGGAATCACAACATCTCTACATTTCTCTGCCCCACACACACACACACACACACACACACACACACACACACACACGAGAGAGACAATCGTTAGGGCTGCAGAAATCCAGCCCCTCATTTTTGGCCCCTTTCTTTTCTGCTTTAATCACCGAGAGCTTTAAGGAGTCAGCCTTTCTTTCTTCTCTCTCCTTTACTTCATAGACTTCCCCTGTCTGCTGCAGGCTCTTTCATTTCCTCTCCTCAGCGATTGTCCTTCTGCACACTGCCCAAGTTTTCTTGTTTCTTTTTTATTTACTCACGTCAAAAGGAGAGACAGCAGAGGCATTCCCTGCAGAGGTCAACGTTTACCTCCATATCAGAGGAATGTCTTGAAGATAGTTTACCTTATGGGAGGAAAATGAAAGGAGCATAGAGGGTATGCAGACAATGAAAGCCAGGACCTGCTGCTGCAGGAAGTGAGATTCATTATTATGGCATTTCTTCAGGAGAGAGATTGACAGGGCTGTGTTTGTTTCTGTCGGCTGAGGACCAGAGAATGCATGTGACTCCGGAGGTTTAGACTAACAGCTGGCCTCCGCTTTGGTTTGTTTTTCCACAGAAATTCCAGAAATTGCACGAAAGTTTGAGACCATCTTCACCATGAGGAGAAGGGTCTCTTTTAATCAAAGGTTAAGTTTCAGCAACAAATCCTCGAAGAAAACTTCTCCCCAGCTGTCAGTTATTTTGCACTCTGCAGAAAACTATTCGAACATGCCTCGTATGGTTTTCTTTGGTAAAGAAAGACGGTTCATTTGTCTGAACTCCCAAAATACACAGAAGAGGTTCTTAAAATGTGGTTTACACTTTGAATGTATGTTTGTATTTCACTCGAATGCCTATATTCTGATTTGAAGTTTGTATATTTAAACTTGAATGAAATAAATTATATTGAATATTGAATGTCTCTGCTCTTCAGTTGTTGCTTCATTCCTTTGCAAGGTGGATCTTGAAATAACATTAGACTCTGGTGGCTTTTTCCTTTTCGTCTCCCCTTACAGAAGTGGGATATTGTGGAGTCCTCAGAATGTGCCAGAAACCATAAAAGCAGAAATCTAAAATCACTGAACAAATATGCATTTAGTCCTTTCAGTGAATCTTTGGGTGTGGTTATTAAATAGTGCATGAACACGTGCTAAAGGACAGTACAGTATACTTGTTGAGTTAGCCCTGCTTGTAGTTAACACAGTTTCCTCTTCAACAGCAAAACAGACTGTACAGTAGAGGCCAACTGGCTGAAGAAATCATGTCTGTGTGGAAAAATGTTCACTAAAGTAATACAAACAAACCTGTTTTTCATGTAACTTTTGGAACAACATCTTAAATGTTTGATACCATCAACGTTTGGTGTTTTATATCATTTTGGTGATAATTTCACAAGCAGTGATATTTTTGTCTAAAAAAATAATTCGATGTTGTCCCTAAAACATAACCAAAAGCTGTTATGTTGTCTTCTGTTTCCCTGCTGAGATCCTCCTCTCCCCGCAGCTATGCACTGAAAAACCAACTCAGCGCAACACCTGCTGTGCACAGACACACCAGTGGTATTATTGCAGATCCAAGCAAACTACTTATCATTGCTGCAAAAAGCTAAACCAAGAGAACGGATTCTCCCAGCATCCATTTTTTTGTATCTGTAACCAGCTATATTTTACAGGATACAAAACAGCAGCAGTAAAATTACAATTCAACCTGAGGCCACTGAAGCAGATTTTGTTTTTCTGCAGGGTCCTAACCCTAACCCCCAGGATAAACCAAAAGGAACAAGAAATATGTTGCAGGAGTGTTTAAATGATATTGTATTTTCACATTTTATGAATTGGAAAAAGACTCAAACTAAACAAAACCCAAAACGAGATCAGCAGTAATGTAGGAGGTAGACCGAATTGTCCAGTAATCGGTAGGTTGTAGGTTTGATCCCACCAGAGAATAATGCTGTTGTGTCTTTGAGCAAGACACTTAACCCACATTGCCTGGTGGTAGTGGTCAGAGGGCCCGGTGGCACTAGTATGCTGCAGCCTCACTTCAGTCAATGCGCCCGAGGGCAGCTGTGGCTAATGTAGCTCATCATCACCAGTGTGTGAATGTGTGGATGAATGATTGTGTTGTAAAGTGCTTTGGGGGGTTGTAGAACTCTAAAGCCTGATTTATACTTATCTGCCAGCTCCACAAGGGACATGCAACGACAGAGACATTTTACTTCCGATCTTCTCCGTCACCACACCAGGATATCAGAGGGTGTAACGCTGTTCTGAGGTATTCTACCACCATTACAGTCACGTATCTGGTCCACAATAGTGTATTCACTACTATCTTTTTATTGTTTTAATGTATTTCAGAGACTTTATAACACAGACTAATTTGTCCTTCATTCTCCTCCACCTCTTCTAGCAATTGGCACCTCTTAATCTTGCTCTAAAGACGTTTCTCTTCATTTCTGTCCACGAATAAAACTCTTGCTGCGTATCTTTGTACTCCTTCAGCCACGCCACAGGTGAATAAACGTTCATAGTTCTGAACTTTTTCTGCGAGACGTTCTTCAATCTGTTACGTCTCTGCAGCTACATATCTTTTTATTTTTTGAGGTGGGCAATGGCGGTGCTGTTGACAAATTTAAAGTAAGCTGCTTCCTGACCAATCATAAGCTCGCGGTCTCTGTCACTTTTGATGGATAGTTAATGTTGGGCATGTCTACGTCACTCTCTGCAAGCCTGTCGAAGAGCCCTTGCGCCGACACATAATGGTGTTGCGTATCTCCGTGCCAACGCAGAGGGAGAAGTATACATCAGGCTTAAGGTGCTATACAAATACGAACCATATTTATTAGTCTTTAAAAATGTGAGTTTTGCAACAATTTCATGCATTATAAGACAATGTTCAGAAATCTTACCAACAAATATTTGATAGCTTTCAAAATAGACTTGTTTTTATGTGAGGAGAACTAAGATGCATGCACATGTGAAATACGATTGAAAGTACTAAAATTTGAAAGTTTACTTTACTGGACATGGATAGGAATGACTCCTCTATGCTACACATTTTAGTGTCTAAAACACAGTTGTTGCTGTAACTTGAAACTTATAAATATAGCTTTTATAATCTCAGACTGACATGCTATTATTAGATTGTACTGGAGTTGATAGAGTGGTTATTAAAATAATTCTAGGTTTTTCTACATGCAATTTAACTGTGAAATAAATTATTAGATTAAACAAAATGTATTTTAAAAATATTAAACACATGCAATCATTCTACTTTTTGCACAGACGTTGGTTTGAAAGTTACAACTTGACAGCGTCTGTAAACATGATTTTTTCCCCTCACTTTTCAAAATAAAATAATGCGGAGATACTTTTTATACCTTCATTTAAGTTGATTCTTACAATCCATAGAGGAGCAACTTCATCATCACAATATGGCACAGCAAGCCTCTGATCTTAAATGGAATCCTTCATTCCTTTAGTCATATATACATACAGGTCCTCTAAAAATATTTGCGTATTGTGATGAAGTTCATTGTTTTCTGTAATGTACTGATAAACATTAGACTTTCATATATATTAGATTCATTACACACAACTGAAGTAGTTCGAGCCATTTATTGTTTCTAATATTGATAATTTTGGCATACAGCTCATGAAAACCCAAAATTCCTATCTCAAAAAATTAGTATATTTCATTCGACCAATAAAAGAAAAGCGTTTTTAACACAAAAAAGTCAACCTTCAAATAATTGTGTTCAGTTATGCACTCAATACTTGGTCGGGAATCCTTTTGCAGAAATGGCTGCTTCAATGCAGCGTGGCATGGAGGCACTGCTGAGGTGTTATGGAGGCCCAGGGTGCTTCGATAGCAGCCTTAAGCTCATCCAGAGTGTTGGGTCTTGCGTCTCTCAACTTTCTCTTCACAACATCCCACAGATTCTCTATGGGGTTCACGTCAGGAGAGTTGGCAGGCCAATTGAGCACAATAATACCATGGTCAGCAAACCATTTACCATTGGTTTTGGCACTGTGAGCAGGTGCCAGGTCGTGCTGAAAAATAAAATCTTCATCTCCATAAAGCTTTTCAGAAGATGGAAGCATGAAGTGCTCCAGAATCTCCTGATAGTTAGCTGCATTGACCCTGCCCTTGATAAAACACAGTGGACCAACACCAGCAGCTGACATGGCACCCCAGACCATCACTGACTGTGGGTACTTGACACTGGACTTCAGGCATTTTGGCATTTCCCTCTGCCCAGTCTTCCTCCAGGCTCTGGCACCTTGATTTCTGAATGACATGCAAAATTTGCTTTCATCCGAAAAAAGTACTTTGGACCACTGAGAAACAGTCCAGTGCTGCTTCTCTGTAGCCCAGATCAGGTGCTTCTGCCGCTGTTTGTGGTTCAAAAGTGGCTTCACCTGGGGAATGCGGCACCTGTAGCCCATTTCCTGCACACGCCTGTACACGGTGACTCTGGATGTTTCTACTCCAGACTCAGTCCACTGCTTCCGCAGGTCCCCCAAGGTCTGGAATCGGTCCATCTCCACAATCTTCCTCATGGTCCGGTCACCTCTTCTCGTTGTGCAGCGTTTTCTGCCACACTTTTTCCTTCCCACAGACTTCCCACTGAGGTGCCTTGATACA